TGTGATTTTATTTCTTTCTTAAATTGATGAATATTATGATTTCAAAGATGTAAAATTTCATTAAGATAAGAAGGGGCTATATAAGAAAAACATCCTTGGAATATGGAAGTACGATGCCTAGGTATGTTGAATGAGTTGATTCTCATATTGACCATATGTATTATAAATACATATGTAAATATTGGACTGTATACCTCACATTCAGCTCCTTCATTTTTAACAAAAATGGGGTGACATGTTCACCATATGGTGTACAAACAATCAAACCTTCTTTTTCAACTACCCACCAAATTTTCACATTGATACCGTGAGAGACAAAAACGTTATAGGGACAAAAATAACCGGGTTGTCACATGGTATATGAATCTGTAATACAAATATGCCTCTGGTGAAGATTTCTCAAATGAGGTCGAATTTTCATGAAATTATTTAAGTCCTAGAAACACTGCTGTTGAACGAACAAAAACATCTTCAAAAATGTCTTCCTTATATCTGTTTGATGAAATGCAATGCTCGTAGTGATGGTAGCCAAGAAAATAGTTTGCTATAGGTCAAACTTTGCTTACAATAAAAAATTATTTGTATACGTTAAGTTACATAACAACTTAAAGAATTTCACTACTTCGGACTTCCATTGTCTACTATATAAAATGATTTGAAATCCCTGAAACAACTAAAANAAGCTTCAACGAAAACACAAAAACGTACAGCAGCCACATGAAACTATACAGGGTGACTATAAGTTGCAATTCAGTTCATATTCCAACACAGCTGATTCGGGATCCTATACTTATGATGCACTGTTTGGAATCTTGGGTGTAGTAATGAGTGATACTGATATTTTTTCCCAACACCAAACCGTTATTTTAACACTTCGACACGTGTTTCGATCACCAAGTGATCATCTTCAAGAGGAATATCAAACTGATTTGATCTCCCTATTAAAGATGATCACTTGGTGATCGAAACACGTGTCGAGGTGGTAAAATAACGGTTTGGTGTTGGAAAAAACTCCAGTATTATTCGGGATCCTATGATATTGTACTGTGCATGGACATTAAATTTTTGAGAGAATTCAATTGTTTCAGTAGGTATGTTGTAAATGCAAAGACATTATCGGTGTTGGAATTAGTAGTTCACTTCATTTATCTCAACAAAAATACTGCGGAAAATCCGAACGGAAAAATGACCAATGAAAATCTGAACAAACAGTAAGTATTATATTACCGTAGACACCACATGGATATAGTAATTCCTTCCACTGATAGTTGCATATTGAGATTCGCTCACTTGGATATTGAAGACGTTTGTATTCGTATCTGGAAAATAAATGTTCATCATTAATAACCTTTCTCTGATTGTTAACAGCAAATTTGCACTTCAGTTTGTTATAAACTGAACATAATTTTTTTCTTTGTCTTTCTATATACAGGGTGAGTCATCAAGATTACCTCGGTCCATTGCTACCAGAGAAAACAATTTTTCGAACTGCTCAATTTTTTTTCCAGTCATGTCGATGAATACTATCTTTCGAACTCATTTTCTCGCAGACTGGATGATTCAGCCGACCGCGGCCAATCAAAGTTATATTTTTTCAAATAGTATATGAATACGTCGTTAGATTTTGTATCTGTTTATCTCTCTAAGGAATATTTGTTTTTGAATATACATTGTGACTTTGTCAAGTTATTCCAGAAAAACATATTTTGCAGACAATATTTTTTTAATTCACCACTCGCATGTCTACAGCAATAAAGTGGACTTTTTTAGAAATGATAAGTCAACACCACTGTGGTAATTTCTGGAATCTCAACTTTCGGAAACAATATATAGGATACTCGGTAAAACCGGTTGTTCTAAAACAGAACATACTGTATTTTTTCAATGATATGAAATGTTTCAACATTTCACTACTTTTTTATCACAGGTGTACTACAAATTATACCAAGTTTCAGTAACTATTGTAACCACAGAAAATTGTATTTTCTTACGTTCACTTATTCCCGTGGGTTGGGCTACCTATCGGGTAGCCAGGAAGCCAATGCGGCCTTACGGACGGGGTTATCGGACTCCTGGTCAGTGGCAAAAATAAGTACGGTGAGGGGAACTAAAACTCCCCAAAAGCCTTTGCAAAACATGCCACCGTGGACCAGCCTACCCAAGCTAAGGTGTAAGAAATCGTGCCGACAGCTGGGCGAAACCTCATCAAAATCAGCCTACCTCTGGTAATGCGGGGCTCTGCCAGAGGTGACCAACTCTTTCCTTGCTACTCGTGGGAACACACATGAATAAAATAAAATCGAAAATAAAAACGAAAAAACGAATACCAATCCCGAGGCTGAACAGAAGTGCTCACCTCAATCCAAGGCGGTAGCTGGGAATGAACAAAAATGTCCACACCAATCTACCGCTTGGAATGGGGCTGAAAATTGCAAATCACCTCGTAATGTAATACAAAGGCCAAGACGTAAGCTCATTTGCGGCGCCGAAGCCGAAATGAGAAAGAGAGCGAAGAAGACAGGATTATCAGCACCCCCCTCCTCCCCCAGTCCACCTCCAACAGCAAGGGCACTTCCTGCGGCAGTTGCCAAGAGCTCCGCCGCTGCAGGAAAGCTCCCTCACTTGTGCTCCTACACGGAAGGAACCCCAAGAAGGGGGCGGCAGTTATGTCGCTGCACCTTCCAAAACCTTTGCGGAGGCCACCGTGAGACACCTCAAGTTTGCCAAAAAGAGTTTGTGTTCGGCGAGTCTTGGCCTACACCTGCCAATATAAAGGAGATATCTCCCAGTGACCTGTCCGCCTTCCTGGAATATATATAAATTATTTTTGATTTGGGTATTTCAGTCAATATCTGCGGGCTATGGAAACACTATTTTTTGTTATTCAAGCTTTCGGAAAGTATATTTTTCTCCTTTCGAGAAAAATACCACCTTTCGAAAGGTGTTACACCTCTTGAAGCGAAGCAGACTATTGAAAAATATCAATTCCCAACTCACTCAGGAATAATGTAAAATATTCATTGTTTAAAAAAACAACATTTTTCTCTTCAGTTGAATATTTCTCACCAAAATGAGAATTACTTTCTACACCTATTTTCACTTATAATTATAGTGGTTTATTTCATCTCATATGTATAATCTTTCATGTTATTTTTCCTATTTAACTTCACTTCAGCACACTTCATTTCCAGAAAATATTAAACTATCGTAATAATTATTTTTTCCCTAAGGTTGCGCTGGTTCAGTAGGAATGGAATCTTCAACATTTGCTCGGCTAAGATTTCTGCCTCAGTGCGGCAAGCAGGTACGGTCGTGAGATTAGATAGAAGAGAGCATAATTTCAGCAAGTAGTCTCATAATCAAAATAATGATCATGACAGAGTGGTCTGATTAGAGCCTTGATATTTCATAAGTTCATGTATTCTTCTATTGAATAAAAACAATGTTCACTCAATGTTTTTTTAATTTTTTTCTCAAAAAGATACATGCTGAGCTTTGTTAGGCCTTCATTAAATTTATTGTACAAATTCAAGTTGGGAGAGTTGGAGGAAGACATTTTCAGTCTGAACCTGTTTGGCCTCACCTGACTATTATTTCGGGTGGGATAGTTGTGAAAGTCTGAGTTCAACTTTAGATTTCCATTATTGGCCTACAAGGTTGGTCGTAGCGAGTACCTTCAATTATTCTCAATGCCCTTTTTTGCAACTTGAATACTCTTGTTGCCTGACTAGAACTTCCCCATAAAATGGTACCATAGCTTATGTGCGAATGAAAAAGAGAGTGGTAGTCAATAGCACATCTTTGTTCACAATATTTTTCAGTTTACGTAGCAAAAATAGTTGGCTAGACAGTGTATTGCATAGATGGTTTATGTGGCTATTCCACTTTAATTCATCATCGAGAGTTATCCCCAGAAGTTTAGCAGTGGATCCATTCGAAATGTTTTTATTAGAGAAGAATATGATGTGCTGGGTCTTATCATTGTTCATTTTGAGTTTAATTGTCGTAAACCACAGTTCTGCTCTAGAGGCAGTAGTCGCCATAAGTTCATTGAGTACAAGTCGACTATAATGCGAATTTATAAATGAAGTGTCGTCAGCAAATGCAATACACATATCTGGGAACAAGTAATGAAATATATCATTAACATAAATGGTGAACAACAATGGCCCAAGTACGGATCCCTATGGCACGCCAGGGTCAGTATGAGCCCATAGCGAAGTAATTCCGTTGACAGATACCACTTGTTGACGGTTGGTTGAATAGGACTTTAAGAAATTCAGTGGGGTTCCTCTTACCCCATAGTGCTCGAGCTTTGCCGGCAGCAGCTCATGTGAGACACAGTCAAACGCCTTAGATAAGTCACAGAGTGTGAGACCTGTTAACTTCCCAGTCTCAAGGCCCTCAACTATTTCTCCCACGACTCTGTTTACCGCCTGGAACGTGGAACAGTTCGTCCGAAATCCATATTGACAACAATGATAGAGAAGAGAAAAAAATATAGTTGCTAATAACTCTCAATATCCTCAATATTATTTTGGTTAATTCAATAATTTCATTGCACTACCACACATTGAATTTTAAATTTTTGAAATTAGCACTGAGCAGTAAGGATCTGTGATTTTATTTCTTTTTAAATTGATGAATATTATGATTTAAAAGGTGTAAAATTTCATTAGGATAAGAAGGGGCTATATAAGAAAATCATCCTTGAAATATGAAAGTACGATGCCTAGGTATGTTGAATGAGTTGATTCTCATATTGACTATATGTATTATAAATACATATGTAAATATTGGACTCTGTACCTCACATTCAGCTCCTTCATTTTTAACAAAAATGATGTGACATGTTCACCATATGGTGTACAAACAATCAAACCTTCTTTTTCAACTACCCACCAAATTTTCACATTGATACCGTGAGAGACAAAAACGTTATAGGGACAAAAATAACCGNGGAAAATCCGAACGGAAAAATGACCAATGAAAATCTGAACAAACAGTAAGTATTATATTACCGTAGACACCACATGGATATAGTAATTCCTTCCACTGATAGTTGCATATTGAGATTCGCTCACTTGGATATTGAAGACGTTTGTATTCGTATCTGGAAAATAAATGTTCATCATTAATAACCTTTCTCTGATTGTTAACAGCAAATGTGCACTTCAGTTTGTTATAAACATATCATAATTTTTTTCTTTGTCTTTCTGTATACAGGGTGAGTCATCAAGATTTCCTCGGTCCATTGCTACCAGAGAAAACAATTTTTCGAACTGCTCAATTTTTTTTTCAGTCATGTCGATGAATACTATCTTTCGAACTCATTTTCTCGCAGACTGGGTGATTCAGCCGACCGCGGCCAATCAAAGTTATATTTTTTTAAATAGTATATGAATACGTCGTTAGATTTTGTATCTGTTTATCTCTCTAAGGAATATTTGTTTTTGAATATACATTGTGACTTTGCCAAGTTATTCCAGAAAAACATGCTGTAGACATGCGATCTACAGCAATAAAATGGACTTTATTAGAAATGATAAGTCAACACCACTATGATAATTTCTGGAGTCTCAACTTTCGGAAACAATATATAGGGTACTCGGTAAAACCGGTTGTTCTGAAACGGAACATACTGTATTTTTTCAATGGTATGAAATGTTTCAACATTTCACTACTTTTTCATCACAGGTCTACGACAAATTATACCAAGTTTCAGTAACTGTTGTAACCACAGGAAATTGTATTTTCTTACGTTCACTTATTCCCGTGGGTTGGGCTACCTATCGGGTAGCCAGGAAGCCAATGCTGCCTTACGGACGGGGTTACCGGACTCCTGGTCAGTGGCAGAAATAAGTACGGTGAGGGGAACTAAAACTCCCCAAAAGCCTTTGCAAAACATGCCGCCGTGGACCAGCCTACCCAAGCTAAGGTGTAAGAAATCGTGCCGACAGCTGGGCGAAACCTCATCAAAATCAGCCTACCTCTGGTAATGCAGGGCTCTGCCAGAGGTGCTCTGCCAAAGGTGACCAACTCTTTCCTTGCTACTCGTGGAAACACACATGAATAAAACAAACTCGAAAATAAAAATAACAAAAACGAAAACAAATCCCGAGGCTGAACAGAAGTGCTCACCTCAATCTAAGGCGGTGGCTGGGAATGAACAGAAATGTCCACACCAATCTACCGCTTGGAATGGGGCTGAACATAGCAAATCACCTCGTAATGTAATACAAAGGCCAAGACGTAAGCACATTTGCGCTGCACCTTCCAAAACCTTTGCGGAGGCCACCGTGAGACACCTCAAGTTTGCCAAAAAGAGTTTGTGTTGGCCTACACCTGCCAATATAAAGGAGATATCTCCCAGTGACCTGTCCACCTTCCTGGAAAGGACAGGATGGACGATGACCTAGGAGGACAACTTCTCGGAAGGATGTACAATGGATCGCATGTGACCTAAGTGATGTGGGTCTACACTCACCCCCTTCNAACGTAATAATTATTTTTTCCCTAAGGTTGCGCTGGTTCAGTAGGAATGGAATCTTCAACATTTGCTCGGCTAAGATTTCTGCCTCAGTGCGGCAAGCAGGTACGGTCGTGAGATTAGATAGAAGAGAGCATAATTTCAGCAAGTAGTCTCATAATCAAAATAATGATCATGACAGAGTGGTCTGATTAGAGCCTTGATATTTCATCTGTTTTTTCTTCTCTTTTTGGATGATATTCGTCTCATCAGGAGCTGAAAACTCTACGACAAATATCGTTTTGCTCCGATAATCGAGAATAACTACAGCGAGCTCACTAGCTTTTATGAGCCTGAAGGTGGGAAATGAATATTTCCAATTCGACACCTATTTTTACATTTTTATCACTATCAAGTCTCAGACGAGTTTTCAATTGATATTCTGTGAATTCAGAGGATTTTGAAGAGTCGTGTTTCATGAAATTGTCGTATCTCGAGATTGTTGATCGTCGTACGTTTTAATATGATGTTGATGCCAACCACTCATATCGTTGCTGTAAAACAGTCAAAAAGGCGACCCTTATTGAAGCTGATATTGCGAATGAATAGAACAGAAGATTGTGAATGAAAATCATCTCCACATGGGGTATTCAGAAAAAACAATTTTTAAGTAATATAATCAAGAGATTCATGATATTGATGGATTGTGATATCAGTTTTTGATTCACTAAACTGAAAAACAGTGTGTTTTATTTAATTTGTGTTTCATTTGATTGATTTTGCTTTTGAAAATCAAGTTCAATTTGTACTTACAAATTTAAAAAATTATTCGAAGAAGATTAGCGACTTTCTGAGAAAACATACATACAAAACTATAAAGATCTCTCACATCACGTCCTTTCATATATGAAAAGGAAAAAACTGCATCTAAAACAACTACATTCATATTCTTAAGCATTTCACAATGCTCCAGAATATCATAGGTCATGGTGAAACTTTCCAGAACAATTTCTAATATTGTGGATCACACAAAAACATCAATATTTAGTTTTATTTCAAAATCATTCACTAATTAAGATTAGAACCAGACAATATTTTTCTAAATTGTAATTACACTTTGGAAACTGAAACAGTTTGCTCACCTGTAGCATTTTGATCATTTCCAAATGCACCAATTATGCAACAGCCGAATAGAAATATCTTGGTCAACATTTTGAACTTATTTGATAGAAACATTGCATTTTCGACTGTATATATAGGTTTCATATCTCTGCCTTATCTCATATTGTTTTGGTAACGAAAATGTGCAATAATCAATGATTTTTAGGTGAAGAGAATGAAGAAATCACTTTATCAGAATATGGTATAATATATTCATAATTATTGATACGTTTGAAGGTGACATCATTGAACTTAGTATGAATACGAAACGACTTTTTCAATTATCCCACCTTTGATGTTAATAATTGTAATATCAAATACTTTTCTTTCCGTAATACCAAATAGGAAACGATATAAAGTAAGCTGAAAATTATGAAATGGCAAAGTTCATCTACGAAATTTGCTTTTGAACCGAGTCTTATACATATTCACGTATAGAAAACGAATATTAAATCTAAACTAGAAATCCCTAATATACATAAAACTCAATAATATACATAAACCTCAATATTTTGTTCAACAAATGGAAAAATATTAGATGTTTTATAAAAAATTCATATATAAACTGTAAAAATCATTTTTGGACATGAGTGTCTGAACATAAGAAGATGAATATGTATGTATATGAACGTCAATGATTATCTAGTAGGGTGGGTATGAAAATATGACCATAGAACTCTTCATAGGTATTTCAATATCTTCGTTGATTATTTTGTAGGTAACAAAAATTTTATTTATATCAAAAGACCCCACATTGCTATCTCGTTGCGAATATTAAAATTAATAATTGTATAATAAACGTCCAAGAAATCATTTGAGGCTGATCAGAAAAAAGAATACTTCTACGATATTGTTGGACGAAATTCAAAATTCTGATGAAAAAACTTCATGAGAAACAGTGGGTATGGCATTATATTATAATCAATATCGTAGACAGATAGATGAACGAATGTATAAATGTTTATTTGCTCAGGAAAACAAAAATTTGCGTGATTGCTATGATCAACCTTCTTTTTCTAGCTGCTTGTGGGACTTTAATGGACAGAGTAAACTTAAAAATTCTTTCTGATGCTGAGTCTATAGAGAAGAGGATGTCGAACTTACGACTCCAAGTGACCTGTGTATTTAGTTTAGGAGCGAGAGCTTCTCAACTCCTGCCAGGTAACGACTGAGTCGTCTCCTCAAGAGCGGGGTACCTTATGAAAACGCCTTGCACCAAATTCTTGAGCGGCGTACGCAGAATCTGTCTCAGGTGGAGGAACAAACCCCTCATGAGCTGACGTGTGTAGCTGACGTGCAAAAACCCTCATATGGGAATTTTTTCATGGGTATCAAGGTGGAAATCTTGCAATTCGACTATCTGCCTCCAAACCTAGCCTGATATATGTTACTTTGGTAAAGAGTAAAAGAAATTGTACTGTTCGCTGGAAAAAAACCCATATTTAATAAATCTGGTGTCTTTGTACCTACAGGGGTAGTATATGTATATGAGGGCTAATGTAATGAACCATTGTTAGTTTGAAGTTTAAGTTTGAAAATGTCCTCATAGGACGAAACTGCAGTAACGTTAGTTACAAATAGAAGTGGTGAAAAATATAGAAACTTCCAATTCTCTTTTGTTCATTATGATTTCCTACCACGTAGTAACGGCCACATCCATCAAATATTTTCATGTTATCTCATTTGCTGTGAAGTGGCCGTGTCAGATGACGGCGAATTATCTGGTTACTAAAAAACAGTACTGTTTACAGCTTACGCGTTTTATTCAAAGTCACATTCAGAGTTCTTGCTGATGTTTAATGTATATAATATAATTTTCTTATAGAAATCCTAGATAATAAAATTTCTGAATGCAGCTACAAAAATAAGTCTAAGCGAAAAAAAAGGAAAATATAGATTACAAACGGAATAATAAATTCAATAAACACTGGAGATCGCATGTTTCAAGAGTATCTACGCAACCCAAATGATGACAGTTTGAAAAGGAAGTACAAACTCTATCGAAATAAATTAAACAGTACTATAAAAAAGGCACGAATTACTTTTTACCGGAATGATATTGAAAAATATAAAAGTGATAACTCAAAATTGTGGGAAACTGTTGGAGAAATTTGTGGGAAAAAAAGGCCAATAAATAAAATAACACATATAAATATAGAAGGAAGATCCACGGATAATATTCCCGAAATTGCTGATAATTTTAATGATCATTACATCAATATAGGCAAAAAATTAGCAAGAGAAATAAAAGTCGATCCAAATTATAAATGTCCGAGAAGAAATATCAATAATCATATGTCAATGTTTTTATTTCCTACTGATTCCACCGAAATAAAAAATATAATTCTATCATTGAAAAACAGAAAAGCGGTGGGGGTCGATGGAATAAAGGCTGAACTTTTGAAAAATACAATTCCATTCATAGCCGAACCATTAGTATATTTAATAAATAAATCTTTCATAGACGGTATTTTTCCATCCACGCTGAAATTGACACAAGTGATACCAATTTATAAAAACGGCGATAAAAATGAACCTATAAACTATCGACCAATATCACTGNTGATAGTTGTAAAAAAAAACTATTTGCGAAAAACCCGAAAATAATTATTATATTGTGATGTTATTTGAATCATCAAAAATTCTTGAGTTACGGCAATTGTACTTCCTTGGATCAACAATTTCTGAGCATTACCGAAAATTTGAATAACAATCAACAAATCACTGCCACAACACAAGAAATGAAATGTCATGCTACTGAATTATTTTTGTCTTGGACCGAAGTTAAATATCTTCGTGGTATATGAAGCAAAATCGACTACTGAAACCCGAAGGAAAAAAATTCATTGTATATTTGAACAGGTCATATACTATAATGAAAAATGATAAATGAAATTTTTCATGATGATCTTCTACCACGTAGTAACTAACGGCTACATCAATCAATTCATTAAGGATATTTCTTCACACCAATCATTCTTGTGAAATATTACAGCACATATTCTAAAAACACTTTATTGTGTGATTTTCACTAGATAGTTTTGCAAAAATGCAACACGTGTTTCGCCATACAATGGCTTCCTCGGGCGCCGAAGCCATGTATGGCGTATGGCGTGTTATAAGACACGCCTGAGGAATGATTTTTTCAATTTCATCTTCAGCTCCAAACTTTTCACACTGTTGGTGGTTTATTCTTCTTTTGGTTGTCATGCTAGCCAAAGCCTTGCCTATGTAAGTTGCAAAAGGATAAAATAAATTGTACGAGCCTGATTCGTCAAAATTCATCATTCCATTGTCTTGAACATGATAACTTCCAGGTATTCATTAGCTTTTCGTGAATTTGTGGGAATCTACATTAATTACTTCATAAGAAGTGGTTGATTGATAATGAATGGGTAGGATTATAATAATACTTCAAAATTCACACAATACTAATGCTATTAGCTCTTTCAATACAACGTCTCATCTTCTCAGCGAGTTATAACTCGTTTAGAAGTCGCTCAGAAGATGCTACAGCCGAAGAAGCCGAAACTGTAGAATATGGTCAATGATGAGCAACATCGTTCAATCCCTTTGATATCAGTGAAATCATTCGTGTTGTAAATTACGATGGGAGAATACAGCAGAAATATATTTTTTCAACTGTATCACTTTAAGTAGAACATATTTTCGGAATGCTTGAAACCACGTTGAGTGTATTTTCAGCATGGTAGGGTGGTAATTGAAACAACCAATAAGTTATACCTCGTTTATTATCGACGAATATGTGAAAGCAAATGAGCAGAAAATCACTGTCCAACCAAATACCATAATAAATTCAAAATGATGAAACAAAGTATTCACTTGAGCAAAATATATTCTGAGTGATTGTATGCACTGTTCTTCAACATATAGTATTTGGTTTGTACTAATAGCATTCAAGTTTAATGATCTACACAGACAACGAATCTTTCAGCGTCACATTTCAGATCGTTCCACAATAAATGGTATTTATCTGGATTATACGATGCCTCTACACAGTGTTCTCTTCCATCTGCATCGTTAGGTTCACCAGGAGCCCAACTGGTGAAAGAGAAAGGTGCTCCAATGGATGTCCAATACCATAAAGCACCAATCTTCTCGCCGGAAGTCCAGAAAGAAGATGATTTATGAGAAACTGAAATGAAACCAATAAAATCAATGAATATTCGCCTCAGTATTGGAGAAATACGCAATTGTAAAACTTTGATATATCACCACCAATCTTTCAATTTCGTGGAAAAATTGTTTTCATTGTAAAAAGGGAGGAACTGATCGGAAACAGCAACTAAATCTTTAGAAATTCAGTTGTTTAGTGTTTTTTACACACTCTTTGTTTTCAGCGTGAACTACTTTCGAATTAATTTTCGCCAATATTCCCGCACATTCTTGCATCATTAGTCGCTGAAGCAAGGAATGTGCAATGCTCTACAATTCCATTTTCATTCAGTCCATATGAATCTATAAAAACTTTCGTCCCAGTATTTTCAATAAATACTTGGAGTTATTTGGATCAACGATTGATAATACCATCATCAGTATAAAGTATCTACTGATCTATGACAAAGTCAGTCTTGTCCGTGAATTATTTCTCAAACCCATTCAAATAACCATTAGGAGAATGATGATGTCGGTTTGTGAGATTTCAATAACACGTATCCGTGACTTGATTTCACAGACAGAAAATCAATTAATGCGATGATGCAAATGGATGTGCTGAAATAACGACATTTCAGAAAACAACGTTTTTCTTCACGAATCAATTTCTTTAAAACAAGCACATTTTTCACTGATTCGTATCAAAGAAAATGTAGATTCAATTTAGATGAAAAATTTACCTTTGCTCCACTCGTTTTTGAGAACGGTCATAGAATAAATGAAAACTATTTGGAATTGATAGAATCGCTACGTGACACAAGACTTTTAGATGCTTTCGCAAGTCTGGAAAAGTAAAAAATGACAAAGTTTCCATTTCAAGTAGATCATTGTTCAGAATTTTAAGAATTACTTTGTTTCTCACAAGCTATAATTCTAATGAAAGATTTTTTCAATATTACCTTTGGCTCCAAAGTTTTCGTAAAGTTCATCGTTTATCGCTTTGTTTTTAATGCTGACCAAAGATTTTCCTAGAGATTGACAGAACACCCTTGCTTTCGGATGTGACATCTGAAAAATGAAAAAATTTGTTGCTCAGACTCAAATATTCATTAGGACACCAAAATAGTAATGGATATCATAATTTGGAAAACTAGATGATCGGGTCTTAGTAGATATTTGAAAAAATCCCCTCAATATTATTATACAACATATAAATTATGTGAACCGATTTAGACTCGCCCCTATAATTTTATTGTCTCAGATGCTGTTGAAGTGTGATTTTGATAGTTCCAATGATACCGCAATCGGAATTGAATGTATTATGAATATTTTTGTGGCATTTCCAGTTTTACTGGAAAGTACTTACCCCAATTTTGGATTTTTGTGAAATACGAGTACTTTCTTGAATATGGCCGATTATTTTACATATGAATTTCCTATTCCAGTAAAAATACACTACGATTTTTCTTGTGTGGAATTCAAATACATCTAGGAGGCTGCGACCACGATCTAATGTGGACATCAAATCAAACCTAGTTTTTCAACCCACCAAATTTCCACATTGGCACCAAAAGATACAATAAAGTTATAGGGACAAGCCTGAGAGAGTTTTCATCAGGTATGTATATCTGTATAATGTCACAGATAAATATTTTTAAATTAGGACCAGTTTTATGAAATTAGTTGGGTCCCAAAAACGAACAAAAAGCTTTTTCAAGAATTTGCATATTAAGGAATCCTATACTAATATATGTTTGATGAAATTCAATAACCGTTGTGGTATAAGCCAGGAAAATTGATTGCTGTAAGTCAAACTAGAAACTGCATATAGTAGTGGAAGAACGGAGTTGAAGTAGAACCCCATTAAATTTGAGAATACAAAATTATAAGTGGCAGTTGAACTGAACAGAGTAGTCTCAATTGACTTGAGAGTATGAAAACGCTTGATAAAACTATTGTGGAGAAAAACACGTGTAGCGGTTGTTTGCGTTTTATTGAACGATCCAATGAAAAGCTTGCGATGAAGTGGTATTTCAATATGTTATGGATTTGATGTATATCAAGTATCGACCAATTTCAATTGAAGCCTCAACGCTTCAAAAGAAGCACAAGCACATAAAACTATACAGGGTAAATATAAGTTGCATTTCAGATAATACTCCACGGTATATTATTATATCGTACTGTGCATGGACGTTGGGAGAAGTGATGTTTTCAAATTTCAATTCGAAATATTCATTCTCTGTGACTATCGTCGATAGAAAAAGTTATAAGATTTTTGTGTAACATCATTCGTTTCGAGATGTTTCAAATGAAAAGACGTTATCGGTGCTGGAGTTGCCAGTTTATTTCATTACTTTTTCAACAAGAATAATGGCGAAACTCCAAACGGACAATTATGAAATACGTCCAATGAAAATATGAACAAATATGTTATGAAATGTTACAAACAATGATCACTATTAGAGCCAATATTATCTTACCGTAGACACAACATGGAAATAGTAATTCTTCCCACTGATAGTTGCAAACTTGGAAACACTCAATTGGATATCATAGATGTTTGTACTCGTATCTGGAAATGAAAATATCACAAATAAACTTCCTCACGTTTTTCTTTCATGTGAATCAGTTCTCGGGAAGTTATTTCATAGACGTTTCCACTATTTATGTAGCATTTTTTTAAATGATTCAATTTCAGTATATCATAATCAGGTAAAACTTCATTTTGATATTTTTAACTGAAAAATGAAACTTATGACGAAGCTATCACATTGTTTTTGTAATCTATATGAAAATTCCGAAATGCAGTATTTCGTTTTCATGGATTTCCATCACTTATCGACCTATATTTCGGTGTGGAAACTACATAGTGTTTCCTAATTTCGGTACAAAACTGTAAGTGCTCCCTCAGAAGCTAATTTTATAAAAAATAAACTGAATTTCGAGCCGTCACTGGAGTTAATAAATCGTTTCTAATCGAGACTGAAGAAACCTGTCATCTTCCGAAATGAACTCGTTCAACCTTTGTGAAATTGAATGAGAGACATTCACACTAGAATGCATATCAAAAATTCAAAAGGAAAATTTAAAGTGCCCTGTATTTTGGGAGGAATACGTTTCCAGACCTATGTTCATCGGATTTTCGTCTCAATATCAACACCTTATCACGTTCTCATATTTTTACTGCAATCTGGAGCCACTTTATATATTTCGGCATATCAAAGCAAATTTCAATTTCAGACATCTTAAACTATTCCTTCAATGTTTACTGATGAATGATAGAAAATGAGAACAGTTTTCAAATTGATGATGTACAAAAAATGTTATTTGACGAAATAATTTTTCAAGAAGGTCAGGAATGGAAAGTTTGAAGAGATAATTTTTCGCGATGTGTTCTTACTGTTTGTTTACGACAATTCTGCACTGTAGTTTATTACGAACATATTTCTTATCTTCATCTTCATCTATTTTTCTTTTTGTGTATTATACGATTACTGACACTTTTGGCACGAAATAGAGTTGTGACTATGCAATAATATACCTTCCTTAATGATTTTGAAAATAATGTACGGAAAAATAAAAACCGAATATAATTCCTTGGAATATTATTATGATATCACTGATAATTTTGATTGATTTTGATATTTCGTAATTGATTTAGTGAACTAAACTGAAAAACACTGTTCTTGACTCAATTTGTATTCCATATAAATGTTTTTTCTATGGACTATCAAGTTCAATATGTACTTAAAAATTTTAAAAATTGTTTAGCGACTTGCTAAGAAAAAAAGATGGATGCTTATATCATATTTTCGCAAATCTATGTCGATCACTTACATAAAATTGTATCATATACGGAAAGGAATCCAAAATGTATCTGAAATAACTACCTTTCATTAGAAACGTCGAATTTCACGAAATTGAAATGTAGAACCACAACCTCTCTATACCAGATCGTGAAAAATTATCCTCGCAATTTAAAATTTTCTGGAAACCGGGAAAATACTCTTCTCGTGCAGAAAGAAAGGTTCAGAATCATTCCACAATATTTTAGAACGTCCGGAAACATTCCGGATGTTTCAGAATGGAATCTATATCATGAATTCCTTTTGACCAGTGACTCATTCAGAGAAAAGCCATACATTTCACATATTATGAATGCAGTGATTTCTTCGAATGTGAAGTAACAAGATAAACATTTTTCGAAATTGTAATTACACTAAGAAAACTGAAAGAGCTTGCTCACCTGTAGCATTTTGATCATTTCCAAATGCACCAATTATGCAACAACCTAAAAGAAATATTTTGGTCAACATTTTGAACTTATTTGATGAAACCATCACATTTTCGGCTTTATATAGGCATTTTTCATCTCTGCCGTATCTCATATTGTTTTGGTAACGAACCGTTGGAGGTGACATCTTTGAACTTGGTCCAAATACGAAATAGTTCTTCGAGTTAACGATAAAAATTAGAATAACAAGTTCTTCATTTATCATAATAGCGAATGATAAACGACAAAAATTAAGGTAGAAAATATGAAAAAGCAAAGCCCATCTCCGAAATTTGCTTTTGAACTCAGTCTCATAAATATTGACTATGAAAAACAAATATAAAATATAGTCATGATGAAAAGAGAAATGAAAATTTCAATGTTTCTCTTTTTATTATGATATCCTACCACGTAGTAACGACTATATCCATCATTTCATTAAAATATAGTCATTATTTGAAATAGGAATCCCTGATATACATGAACCTCAATAGTTGGTTTGAAAAATGAAAAAAAATGTAAGTTTTCATATAGAAACTGTAAAATTGATAATGAGAGTATGAGCGGAAGTATATGAATGAGTGTATATAAATTCAAAGATCATCTAGTAGGATAGGTAAGAAAATTTCAGTTCTCAAAACGCGCTCATAGAAATCTTCATGGGGATTACAATATAATTGTTGGTTTTTGGTGACAAAAATTTTATTTTTAGCAGAAGAACAGCCCCAGATTGATATACCGTTGAAAATATGAGAATAAAGTTCAATAACTCATTTGAGACTGATCAGAAAAATGAAATGCTTCTTCGATATTGTTCGATAAAATTTAGGATTCTAGTGATAGAGCTCCATAAAAATGGTAGGTATTATTACCACTAACATAGATATATGAATGAATAGATACATGTTTATTTGCTCAGGATTTGCAAAGATGCCCATATGGGTGTGGAACAGATCATACAGGGTATTCCATATTCGATGGACTATTAGACGTATCTGGAGAACAAAAAAAGATGAGAGTGTCAAATTCAGGTCACAGATGTAGATGGGAGTAATCTATCGTATGAAAATATTTTCATCTCCGCATTGTTGCCACATCTACATGTAACAGACATCAACTNTCTGAAAAATCAATAATACCCGAATATATTCTATGACACATTGGCTCTTGTAGGCCATAGCTAAAATATTTGTAGTATCCTTATGTTTGTATCGATATCCGCCTCATGAATTAAATGTTGTACCCGTTATCACAATTCCAATTTTATTTTAGGTCTTTTGTTATTTTTTTGTTTTTTTTGTTTTTCATCATTTTCTTTTTTTTTGTAAGGTGCAAGAGGAAGAATGAACTCTGTTCAATCTTGTATCCTATTGACAAATTTGTATTTTGTTTTTCTCCATATTGTATCATGTTATTTCAGCTGTCAATAAATTCATTTATTATTATTATCACATGTCTGTTTTCAGTTCATGTTATCACTTTTAGTGATTTTACTTTTGTGATTTCATGTATATGTTATGTATATTTCGCACAAGGTTTTGTCAATAAGAATTTATTCTTCAGACAATAAAGTATATTTGAATTGTATTGAATTGTTATGGAAATATTACTCTATATTGCTTTGGTGAATATTTTTGAATGCATTTTTATTATCAAATAGTTGATGAAGAATGATTAGTTGATAATAAGCAACATTGTTCCTGTGGGTTGGGCTATCTATCGGGCGCGTCCCCAGATGGTGGGTAGGGGAACGGCCAGGGGACTGGAGGCCCTGTCCGAGAAGCCAATGTGGCCTTACGGAGATGTCGCCGGACTCCTGGTCAGTGGCAGAAATAAGTAGGGTGAGAGGAACCAATACCCCCCAAGAGCCTTTGCAAAACATGCCACCATGGACCAGCCTACCCAAGCTAAGGTGTAAGGAATCGTGCCGACAACTGAATGACAGCAGGGTGATATGCCGTCACTAACGATCCCCTTGGGGAACTGGGCGAAATCTCAGTGTGATCAGCCTACCTCTGGTAATGTGGAGTTCTGTCAGAGGTGACCAACTCTTTCCTTGCTACTCGTGGGAACACACATGAATGAAACACCCCAGAAATGTCCACCACGATCTACCGCTTGGAATGAGGCTGGACACCGCAGATCCCCTCCAACAGCAAAGGCACTTCCTGCCGCGGGCGCCGAAAGCTCCGCCTTGAATAAAGGCAAGGAACTGGCTGCCCCTGCAGGAAAGCTTCCTCACTTGTGCACCCCCACAGAGGGAACACCAAGAAGGTTGGAGAAGCCGCGCAACGACAGTAATATCGCTGCAACTTCCAAAACCTTCGTGGAGGCCACCGTGAGACACCTCAAGGTTTCCAAAGAGAGTGTGTGTTCAGCGAGTCTTGGCCTACAATTGCCAATATAAAGGAGATGTCTCCTAGTGACCTGTCACCTTCCTGAAAAGGACAGGATGGACGATGACCAAGGACGACAACTCCTCGGGAGGATGTACAATGGGTCACATGTGGCCATGTGCTGCGAGTATACACTCTCCCGCCCTACTCTACAGATACCAGATACCAGAGAAGCAACATCGTTACAATCAAAGGTTTTGATGCCCTTGAAATTAATCGGGCTGTAAACAACAATTCATGTATTGTTCTAACGAACTTTGTGAAATTGTTCAAAATCCGTAGATCATAGATGTGACCCATCTTTTAGGGAAAAACTGAAATATATCATCGATATAAGAATTAGCACATGAAAGTGAGTCAAAATCATATCCGAATTTCAAAACCATGATGACCCTTTTTATTACGTTCAGGATTAGCCACCGATTTTAAACACATTGTATAACATTTTTGGAATATGGATGCTTACAAGATGATGAAATGAAGCACTTTGATTATTCATCGATAGCTCATATATGCATTGCATTCTTTTTTTTTATTTCATAGAGGAAATCCTTGATACCCGATTTTTTTAGATGAACAAATGGATGTCTCAAGAACGGTCCATGTTTTGTTTATGATAATATCGTATGCACGTTGAATGTTTTTTTAGCATGGTTGGGAATTAACTGAAACAAGCAGTATGTTAAGCTTCATTTATTATTGACGAAAATGTGAAAGCAAATCAGCAGAAAATAACTTCCTAACCGAATATTATAATAAATTCATAATGATGAAACGTTTTGAAACTCAAACAAAGCAATGTTTTAAGTAATTAAATGCTTATCTTCTCAAGAAATAGCATTTTGTTCGTATTGACAGCATTCAAGTTCATAGATCTTCACAGACAACGTATCTCTCAGCGTCACATTTGAGGTCGTTCCAGAGTAAATGGTATTTATCTGGTTGATACGAAGCCTCTACACAGTGCTCTCTTCCATCTGCATCGTTAGGTTCACCAGGAGCCCAACTGGTGAAAGAGAAAGGTTTTCCGTTGGATGTCCAATACCATATATCACCAATCTTCTCGCCGGAAGTCCAGAAAGAAGCTTGTTTATTGGAAACTGGAATGAAATCAATGTAATTAATGAATATTCGACCAAATAGTGAAGGAATACGCAATTGTTGATCCAAGCAAAATCAACACTCTGAAAACTCAGGTTATGCATTGCATATATAATATGATCTGTTCAGAAAAAGCAACTAGTCCTTCAATCTTGAGAAATTGAGTTGTCCATTGTTTTCTCACACACGGCATTTTCGTTAATATTCTCGCATATTATTGCTTCACGATACATTTGTTACTGGAGTTAAGTTAATAACTTTTGTTGGAATTTCATTTCGTAGACAAAAAGATATATCAAGGAAGAGACTACATTATGAAAAGAAAACTAGAGAGTGTGAAAGAATATTGAGAATTTGTTCAGGATTGCGTGAACTATAATTTCGATAAAATATTTGTCAAAGTTACCTTTGTCTCCAATTGTTTGGTAGAGTTTGTCGTTTATCGCTTTGGTCTCGATGCTCACCAAAGCTTTGCCTAGAGAATGACAGAACACTCTTGCTTTCGGATGTGACATCTGAAAAATAAAACATTTGTTACTCAGACTCGAATATGGATTCGAACACCAAAATAGAAATGAATATCATACGTTGCTGAGAATCCAAAAGAAGTTTGAGGGCTTTTCAATTACAGAATTTGCAATAACTAGATAATGGGTCATAAGTAGATATTTGAAACAATCCTAATAATGATGTTCCCAATCCTGTACCAATTCAAGCTCGCCCCTATAATATTTCAGTCCCAGCTGGTGTCAAAGTAAAATTTTGGTAGTTCAAATGATATCACGATTGGAATTGATCAAATCATAGAAATTATTGTGAGCATTCATAGTTTGACAGAAAATTATTGCAAGTTTGTATTTTCAAATAGACTACTCTTTTCCTTCATACATTATTGAATACAGCAGTTCACTTTACATACGAATACAGTGATTGTTTTCGTGAAAAATACGAATTCAATTCAGAGACTGCGACCACTGAAAAACATTCATTCTGCACTCATGATATAATGAGAACATCAAATCAAACCTTGTTTTTCAACTACTCATCAAAATTCCACATTGATACCAAGAGAGACAACAAAGTTATAGGGGCGAATCTGAACGAGTTCTCACCCGGTATGTATATGTGTCTCAGATGACGATTTTTCAAATGAGGTCCCCAAGTTTCATGAGAATATTTGAGTCCCAGAGATACAGCTGATGGACCAAATAAACCCAGCTCGTCAACGAAGCCGACCAATTTGTATGGTGAGTGGTCTTTCAGGTCAGATGGTGAAAGTACGGCTCTGCTGCACTCTAAAAACCTGATTCTGTTCCCAGTGGGGCAGCACAAAGTATGTGCTCTGCAGTTTCATCATTTTCAAACAGAGGCGACATAAACTGTCTTCCGCAGTCCGAGTCTCTGCATATAATGATTCAAATTACAGTGACCTGTAGAAAATCCCGTTAGACATCGTAGTGCATCCCTACTGTAGTCCAACAACTGTTTGGTATCAAGCTTCGAAGGGTGAATAAACGCTCTGGGGTGAGCGAATCCTGGAAGATTCTGCCAGAAGTCCATGAATCTCCTTGACGTGCAGGTATTCAATCTCTGTTTGGCAAAGCTTGAAGCGATGCCAATGACAGGTTCTGGTCCGATGAAGCTGCTTGCAACACCCACCTTTTCAAGGGAGTCAGCAGCCTCGTTGCCAGTACAGCCAGGAATCGAGACCAGAGACAATCTGTTGAGTCTTCCTTTCGAAAAGAGTCGTTTTTAGCAATTTGTTACCAATTTAGACGTTACTCGGTAGCATACAAGAGCTTCCAACGCCGCTTGACTATCCTAGAATATTTTTATTGACTTGTGTATGAGGTTGGATTTTTCCAACTTCTCCGTACACTATTCAATAGCAGACATTTTCGCTTGAAATACAGTCGCATAGGTTCCTAGGCATGTTGATATCTCTGTCCTGGATCTGCGACTGAAAACATCTGCAACCAGAACCGGAAGATGTATTTGATTCATCTGTGAACCAACAACTATCTGCTCCTAATATTTCTATCTCCCGTTGTGGTCGTAGCCAAAGGAATAGTTAGCTATGGAACAAACTCATCTTATGATAAAGTATTATTTGAATACGTTTCGGATCTCATCAATTATCGGCCAATTCAATCACATAGAATAACTCAACTCTTCGACGAAAACGTATAGAAGCCACATAAAATCATACAGAGTGTTACAATTCACTTCATATTTCAACATAGTTGACTCGGGATCTTATCGAATCCTACTGTTGTACTGGACGTTGGGAGAAGTGACTTTTTTGAATTTCGACAGATAGAGTCATTAGATTTTTGTGAATTCCGGTATGTTTTAAATGTAAAGACATTGTCGAAATAACCAGTTCACTTTATTTCTCTCAACAAAAACACTGCGGAAACTCCAAACGGACTATGCCGAAAAATCAAACTTCTTTCCGAAACAATATTATCTTACCGTAGACACCACATGGATATAGTAAGTCCTTCCACTGACAGTTGCAAATTCAGAAATTTTCAATGGGATATCATAGATGTTTGTATTTGTATCTGGAAAAAAAATATTCATCTTATATAACCTTTCTCTAATTTTTTTTTCATAGAAATAAGTTCTTGGGAAGTTATTCCATAGACGTCTACACAATTTCTATAATATCTTTATCAATAATATGTTTTCAGTGTATAATAATTAGGTAAAACTTCATTTTGAAATTTTTCACCGAAGAGTTAACAAAACCGTGATACGTAGATTCTTCTGACGCATACGACTGACAAAGCTATCATACAGATTTCGCGATTTTATAAACTTTCATGTGAAAGTTTTACAATGAATTGTTACCAAATCATATTTTCATTTCATTTTCATCAATCTATCATGTTGCATCTGGGAAAGGTTGAATGGATCCCTCATACCTAGAATTAACATTTCTCAATGCTTCCATATTTGAATAATAATAATACACAATATTGATAAAATAAAGTTGAAGCACCCTGTATTTTGACACTAAATAAATGAATAACTATGATGAGTATGAAATGAAGTGTGCTATACGTACATATTACGTACATTGAATATTATATTATGACAACTGCAAAAGGATAAATGAGCTATTGGTCTTCCAGATAACAATTGTGAAAACTATATGTTTCATAAAATCTACTGCCTGATGCTTACTGTTACTTGCAGACTTCAAATATACCTATGTACATTTTGAATTAGTTATCTACGTGATTAATTTCAAAATAGAGACCATTAAATCATTTCATCTGGCCATACATTCAGAAAAACATTCAATTTCTCGGTTCCAAATCATGAATTAACAATCACATCATGTCTATGTATTAAAAAATATCAAATCAAAGATTCGTTGTAAAAAACACCATTTCACTCTCTACGTGAATATTTGTTAACAAATTGAGGATCTACGATCCTCAATTTGTAAACATGATTCATGAAATAGTCGTATCTCGGGATTCTTGACCGTCGTTCTTTTTAATTTTTTATTCCATGTGAAAGGCTTTACTTTCGAAAATCAAGTTCAATATTTGTTCAAAAAATTATTCAATGAAGAGTGACGAGTTGCTGAGAAAGGCAAATTCATATTTATGTAAAACTATATAGATCTCTCACAATACGTCCTATCATATGTAGGGAAAAAATGCATCTGAAACAACTACCATCCATTAAGAACATCGCATTCCACGAAAATGATGTTTCATTCGTAGATCCACAGTCTCTCTATCTCAATTCGTGGAAAATAATTCTGGCAATTAAAATTTTTTGAAAACTGTAAAAATACTCTTCTCATAAAAAAAGAGTTCAGAGACGTTCCAAAACATATCAGAATATTACGAATCACTCTGGAATAATCGAAAATAGTCTGGAGCATTCGAAAATAACCTGGAAGATCCCAGATCATTTTAGAACAATCAAAGAGGTTATATGAAGAAGAAGGTTTTCTGTTTCAACCTGGAGAGACTGCTGCAGAGAGAGTGTGAGTCATGCCTTAAGAAGTTTCTAGATTAGTCCAGAATATTCGGGACTACTCAGGAGTGTTTCACAACATTCCAGAATATCATAGGTCTTTGTGAAACTTTCCAAAACAGTCTCGAATATTATGGATCACACAAAAACACCTTCAAAACACCTTTATATAATGAATACATTGTTGTGGAATCTATATTTTGATTTGTGTTCAAATCAGTGCCTACCCAAGGAAAAAACATAATTTTTCATTTCATGAATGTAGTACCTAACTTCTTCAAATGAATGAATCGATATAAAAAACCATGACAATTTTCATATAATATATAAGCATTATGTCTTGAAAGCAGAAAATATTTTTCTTAATTGTAACTACAATTTGGAAACTGAAACAGCTTGCTCACCTGTAGCATTTTGATCATCTCCAAATGCACCAATGATGCAACAACCTAATAGAAGTATCTTAGTCAACATCTTGAACTGATTTGATAAAACCATTGCATTTTCGCCGGTATATATACGTTTTATAACTCTGCCTTATCTCATATTGTTTTGGTAATGAAAATGTGCAATAATCAATGATTTTTAGGTCAGGAAATTGGAAAAATCACTTTATCACAATATGATATGATATATTCAGAATTATTGAAATGTTTGAAGGTGACATCATTGAACTTAGTCTGAATGCGAAACGGCTTTTTCAGTTCTCTCATGTTTGATAATAATAATCATAATACCAAACACTTCACCTTTCATGATACCAAATAGTAAACGACATATAATAAGCTAAAAATTATGACAGCATTCTATTGAATAACCGTTACAAAAGTTTGAGAAAAAAAGGCACCAATTTGATGAAAACCACCAAGCAAAACTACTATAAGAACATAATAGAATAAAAAAAACAAGATACCAAATAACTATGGAATGTTGTGAAAGAAATCACCGGCACTAAACCTATATCAACCCGAATTGGGCCAATAAGAAATGATCAGGGAGTACTCCTAACAAACAACAGAGACATAGCCAATGAATTCAACGATAATTTCGTAGATATTGGAAAGAAATTGGCAAATGAAATAGTCAAAAATAATAGCCTCGTT